GGTGATGGGCAAATGGAACAAGGGAAGAAAACAACACACAGTCATTCAAAGACGCTGAATGCTGGACTTGTCCCAGGCGTTTGTGTATCATGGCAATTCGTCGGGGCTCCAGATTCGAAGTTACTCCTCGGACCATTGGAATCTGGACAAAGTTTAAGGCGATGATAACATCAGACTATAGACTCAACCCACTGCTCCCGATAGTATTTTGAAGCCTTCTGTTAGGTCAAGGCCTTTTGCGGTAAAAAATGCTTGACGCGCACTTTCACCTGACACAACTATCACGGTATTCTATTCGAGTATTTGGACGGTGAAAAGGTTCATTAGAATAATAGATGCATACGTACGCGTAAGAGCTGGAACTGGAAAGCAGAATGACCTGTGGCCTGGAAGCCCCAGTTCAGGAAGTCGTAACGTCGCCGAAAGAATGGAAAGATAGCAAAGATTGAGAAACAAGGGAGTGATGGAGGTGCGTCAGCCTCGTCAGCCTGGAGTGTGGAGGTAATGAGGACTATGAAGAGGAAAATTACGACACCCAAGGTGAATTGGGTGGCGAAGGCCGCGGAGAGGAAGGCATTGGCAGCGGCTTGGAGGCCAATAGAATAGGGCATAGCGTAAAGAGCAACTCGGGAGAACAGACAGAACGCGCTCGAACCAGAGAGGGAATGGGTCGTTCGAAGTGGGTTTGAGGATTATTGGACATACAAAATGCGCCTTTATATATAGCTTATAGCAGTACAGCCTGCCCGCAGAGGCCCGCAGCCGCGAAAATCTAAATCTAGATTTGTCCACTACCCGGGGAACAAATCCATTTCATTGTAACCAAAGCGGAAGCAGAAGAGATCGGGACATAAGGGTCCGCAACGTTTCCTCAGATCTGGGTTGTGGCAGTTTGAGGGCGATCCAATTGCGAGGTATGACCGGCACCGAAAAGGTATTGCCGTGACGGAGGAATCCGACCTGCTGGAAGCTCGTATGATCACACGTGGAAAACCATCCCTCTTATTACACACCGCCAAAACAGAGCATATTCTGTTTCAAGCAACAGCGGTGACCACCGATTCTGCCCGATAGTATTACTGTTGAGCGGTTCGTGGAAACTGGGGTTCTGATGACGACGGATCGGCTGTAATCCCATCATTGCTCTTCTTCTCCAACGGTAGTTAGGATTCGCGCTTGTGGTGATCATATGACATCTAATTCGAAATAGACCCTGTCTGAAGGGTTCTGTCAGTTCACCTTGATTCGGCACCTCGGCTTCCATCAATTCTTATTTCTCATGGTCCGCGACACGGTGATACTTTGTCACTCAGAGCTGTAATATCCTGACAGTGGCTAGTGATCACGAAGTAATGCTCAATCTGAAGGTCACCGCAAGGCATCATCACAAACGGTTCCGAGGATCCCACGTTAGATCGGCCCTTTGTAAAATACTTCTCAGTAGATTGAGGATCCACATAACAGGGAAAATGAAGATCATGCAGGTCCCGATTCTATTGAAAATTCCTAGCTAAGGAACATATTAAGAACGGTGATTCCCAGATGTCCCTTTCGCGCCGTGCATCTGATTCGGAATATGTAAGTACAATTGAGCAACACATCACTTCGACAGGACGGCACTTCAGACGTCCTTCGACTCGCGTTCCCTGAGCCCTCATGACAAAAGGAATCACTACGAGACAGTCGACGGCCAACGGCGGTCTGTTTCAGCCTCTCAACATAGGGAAGACGCTGACAGCCGATACGCAAGAGCTTTAAGGGCCCCATTATAGTGCGCCAATGCCGCCAGGACGACCAAAATATGGAAAATCTGATGCGAGGCGCAAAAATAATCGAAATGACCAGGAGACAAACGCTCTGGAATACGATTCGCACTGTGGAAAGTTTAAGTGGTTAGATAAAGGAATGCATCCTTAATCAGATCAGAGGGAAGTGATGGGTGAAGGAAGCAACGAGGTAAGAACAAGGCAACATACTAAAGCAACGCGCCAATGATGTAAAGACAGCCTGAAGCCAGTAACCATCCAAAACCCATGTCAATCAACAGTCGGATAGAGCCATGAGTCACAAGCAAATGGGTCACTGGAACGACCGCGGACACTCCCAAGGCCATGAAAACGGCCGTTCGAGCTCCTCGATGGGTGGGCTTGGCATATTCAGGATGAAGAACTATATATGCGGCACCTGTATAAGCGCAACAGTGAGCGAACATGATCAGAACTAGACGCCTTGCGTTTTGATCATGATCGTTTTCACCTACCAAAACCAATTACTGTAATGGACAACATGTAAAACAGTCGAAGGAAGGATTCGCAGTGAAACCCATAATAAAGAGAAGGATAAAATGACCCGATGGTCAGGATGACTATTCCAGAATAATCAAATGCATGGCACGAGGAAGAGACCTGCAAGTAAACGCGAACTCAGACGCGTTCAGTACTGAATTCCATGAAACAGGCGCACCTCCTCTGAATGACAAGTCACAGTATGGTAGACGGCACTTGCTGACAAACAAAACACAGCGGAGCTCAAGAAAATAGAGAATACAGCGATATCTAACAAAGTCGATCCAGGAAAAGTGTGGGTATTGAAGTCTACTAGGAGGTAAATAAATAGTAGGGCGCCCCAGAGATGGCTATGTATATTGACTGTGGAGAGTCAGGCGAGATAAAACACAACGAAAGTGAGGCACCGACTTGTTTCATTGTGTAGATCTTTCGGCCAAGGGGTTAATTTGATATATATGTTGAGAGAGAGAAACGGAGACCAACATGCATACACTGATCGGATGCATCCAAACCAAGAATACTGGGCCCTGCACGAGTCCTAAGATAGAATTGACAAAAGAACGGTGCCATTCTCTTACCGCCTGTATCCCGTCAAGATGTATTCGTTATCTTTCTGCCAAGCTGGAAGTTCCGCCCAGGTCACCGTTGGAGGTAATGTCCGTGACTTCCTCGGAATGGAGGGCTTCCTTGCCAGATCACGATGGCGGGCCATAGACACCATAGGTAAACACAGCTAGGATGAGTCAGTAAACGACAAGTAAGTTGGAGAGAAGGAAATGGTATCAGTCTGGGGATTAAAGTTGTCGCGCCACGTGATCGAATGATCGACGGAGCTGACAGCACGCTTGAGTCCCTCCCAGACTCGAGTTCGTAGGGACAAGAGGGGCTTTCTCGACATAACCTAGTCACTGCAGAGCTTTGATTGTCGTTTCAAGAGATTCCGCAACTATCTGGTTTCAATCATTTCTCTTCCTGTTTCTTCGGTCGGCATGAACACTAGATTGAACGTTGAAGGAGTCCTGCTCTTTGAGCAGCCATTTTCTCGCGTACGTCTACGATATACAATTGTAGGGATGTTGTATGCAGATCAAGTGCCTATCGACAGGTTCCTTATGAAAACTATCGAAAGGTTTTTCGTACTTCTCAGAAGAACGTTGAAAGGGATCTAGGGTTTGTTCAAAGCAACTCCGCAGAGCTTGCGCAATGCGGAGCGAAAGGAATGCTTGATAGAAACGAAGTTTTGGTCTCTATTGATAACATGATTGGAAGGGTGGAAAGCCTGAAACGCAAGGCATGTCTTGACTACGCACTACCGAATTGAAGCTTATGTCTGTTCATGTCTCGACGGAAAGCTCTACGATCTTCACGAAACTGTAGGAAAGCAAACGCAAGACGTTATGCGAGAGCGTATACATCATCTCACGGCGATCGAAACTATCGCTGTTACAGGGGGGTCTGATTATGGAAGATGGGCCAACACAAGGTTGGATCGATGGTTGGTCGACTGGTGTCTTCGATCGGGCATGGAGAGGACTGCTAGAAGAATCGCCGAGGACAAAAACATCGAGGTATGTCAATAGTCAGGATCTGGCAATTTGGACGTATGTATCACGCGACCGCACTTTGGCCACCCTAGACTCTCGTAGATATTGACCTCTTTATGGACATCCGCCGAATTGAGAATGCACTACTAAAGCATAGCTGTACGGAAGCGTTGGCATGGTGTAACGAGAACAAGGTTGCGCTTCGGAAGATAAAGGTACGATTCTTAACTGTCGTTTCCTAAGTACTCAACGATTTATTGTACGTCAAAGAGTTCGCTCGAGTTCGACCTTCGACTGCAAGAATTTATAGAGCTATCAAGAGGTATGAAGTCTCAGGAAGCGATAGCATACGCCAAGAAACATCTAGCAGCCTGGCACGAAACACATTTACAACAGATCCGCATAGCCTCCGCATTACTAGCATTTCCTTCCAACACCACTTGTGCACCATACAAAGTACGTATGCATATCTTTCTGTCATAGCATCAATTCTCGATACTGTCAATACAGCGGCTTTACGATCCTTCTCGGTGGCATAACCTCATTCACACTTTCCGCACAGCAATTTATTCTCTTAATACTCTCCCCACGGAACCCCTACTTCACCTTGGTTTGTACGCTGGTTTGGCGTCATTGAAACTACCAGCTTGTTTCGATCCATCCACCAAGAACGTAGATTGTCCCGTTTGTGACGGCGAAGCGGGTTCTGGAACACAGGGACTTGGGTTAGGCCAACTTGCTCGGGAAGTTCCTTTTAGTCATCACGCGAACTCCACAATTGTCTGCCGCATAAGTGGTAAGATCATGGATGAAGATAATCCACCGATGGCCTTTTCAAATGGATACGTATATTCCAGAGAAGTATGATTGAGCGTTTCGATCCTTCAATGCCCCCTGATTTCTATCTCACTCCAGGCTCTCGAAGAGATGGCAGCTAAGAACGGTGGCGTAGTTACTTGTCCACGATCTGGAGATACTTGCGAGCTGTCTGCACTTCGAAAGGTTTTTATTTCTTAGATTAAAGCACAAAATTATTATAAAAGAGTGTAACATTGCGAATATTGTTTCAACATCCTCTAGCATCAAAAATATGCCCATTAACCGGATTGAACGATTGACCTCACCATCACAACAAATATTGTTTCAACATCCTCTAGCATCAAAAATATGCCCATTAACCGGATTGAACGATTGACCTCACCATCACAACAGCCTTCATATTAAGGTTACGAGTGGCGCGCTCTACCACTGAGCTAAACGGGCGATATAATAAAGTAAATTTTGTGTATTATAATTCGCGAGATTGCAGTCACCGCGCCAATTTCGAACTCAGAGGCGCCATCCATTTGGAGTGGAATTTCTTGCACGAAACATCGCCGATTATGAACAGAAGCCATTCGATGGGCCTGGTCTCGCACCCCTTCGTGAATTTTTGTCTGGGACCGGCAGATAACCAAGAATGTCAGGTAGGTCCTTGCGTGTCGCGGTGATTCAGGTGTCAATCGAGGACCTGAGCACAGATTTCGCCGTTGTCCTTTGTAGGTCAAGTGCGTTGTTAGCGGCAACCCGCTTGATTAAACATGGCTCTTAAGGCCCTTATACTGGTATCCTGCTCGTTGGGGTTGTGTCCGACTACGCATGCTTTGGCATTGATGCCTTGTCATATCTTGTCGTCCTTATCACACAAGTACAGCCTGCATCATGCTTCTACACGCTCCTATTCTGTGTATCATGGCTGAGTGGAAGACTTTTCATGAGACAGTGTTACACCAAGGACATCATATCCCGCAACAGTGCCCTATTTAGGCTCTCTGGGGAGAAATTTGAGGCGATCAATTTGCAACAGCAAAATTTTGTTGCAGGGCCATCAAAGTTTTGCTCTTTTGGCAAGTCCTTCTAAATTAGAACGTCAAATTGTCCAAAAGAGGCTAACAAAAATATTTTAGATGCAGTGCAAATATGCTGTAATAGAACTGTTGTATCTGACTAGAAAGCTATGTAATCTCGAGGGTCATGCGCAGTTCAGCTATATAAGAGTAAGATCTTTTCCATGAATAATAACCTAGTACTTGATGTTGTCAGTCTTGTCAAAATAATGATATGCCTGCTACTATTAGAGGTCACACATCTAGCGCACACTTCCCCTTTCAAGCAAAACAAACGACAATATACAAAAGTGGCCCTCTGTTACCTTGCACTTCGTGGGGAGTAGCGACATGGAGTTGATAAACAATCATTTGATTTGAAGTAGTACCAGGTCATCGAAGCCGATCAAAACTTTGTCTTCGAGATCCTGATACATTCAGTTATCAGGTACACCAACGGTCTCTCTGCCTGGTTTCTGTGCGGCCCTTGAATGGTATCTTTGAATCCATGCGATACCTTTACATCCTATCATCACGTTGTGCGTTCAACACGAAAGGCCTTAGCGGATCAAAGCGTGATCATCCTCGTGGACTATATACTACAATACATAAGAAAGGTCTGAGAATGTCACCATAACCTAGTTAAACTGGTTACAAACTTGAATCTGAAGTCGTAACTTGAATTTAAAGTCGTAACCTGGATTTCAAGTCCACAGCATAAGACCTCAGAATATTAAATTGAGAAAATGAGAGTAAAGTCTCAGAAAACCTTGAAACTTCCCTAAAATACCACCAAAATCCCCTGGTTGGGGTATTTACCGGGATTTCCTGAATTTACCATCAATACCCTCGAGTTTCCCCGTAAAATACCCTAGAATTATACTGACAGATAATTTGACCCGCAAATAATCAGTACTGCTTCTCTTTACGCATTTCAAATGTCAATGGGAAAGAGAGGCAACGACATGATATATAGCACGTCAAGCTAGTGTACAATCACTACTACGAGCATGAGCACCCCTCACGGCTATCCAGAATACAATTTTCCTGCTAGTTCTCCAACCCTTGGCTGGGGAAACACCTCGACGCCTGCTCAACCCACGACATCGA